AAGCTGAATGAATTCTAGAAAAACAGATACATTTTACTTGTGTACTCACTCTTTTATAAATTTAGTAATCAATATCACTGAGATAAAGTTTTTTATATGGTATCACTTTTACATTCAGTGAGTTTCTTTATGTATATAAGCCTATAAAATAGTTTGTATTCAATTAATTTTATTGGAGAGGTTTTCCTCTTTTCCCAAAGCTAATTCTTAGCATCTAAAAGTATTAATTGAAGAAAAATCCACCAAAACTTCACAAACAAGTTTAAAAATGCATTATCTAAGTTTCTTAAATTAAACTCCATATTATCAGTGTCACTTTTTAATTATATAAAATGCTTTGTTTATGAGGCATACTAAAAACCAAGCCAGTTAGGTGAGGTAATTCTGCACCATTGTTCTAATTTCACTGTGTCAATTTACTTTAAAGTCCTCTGTTCTAGACTTATTCTGACAGCTTTTATCTTTCCAGATGCTCCTTAAATGAAGATTCATCCCCCAATCTTATATCCTGCTTTTTCCTGGTATTACTGAAGTCTTTCTTCTGTCTTTTCCTTTCTCCTACAACTTCATTCTCTATGCCTGATCCTGTCTAGATTGGGCTCACTGTAACAATAAACTAAATAAAATGCATCAGAAATTTGTTCACAAATCTCACTTTTTCCAAAACAGCATAATTTTATTCAAACTTTTATTGAACATCGGTATTACTGAAGTCTTTCTTCTGTCTTTTCCTTTCTTCTACAACTTCATTCTCTATGCCTGATCCTGTCTAGATTGGGCTTACTGTAACAATAAACTAAATAAAATGCATCAGAAATTTGTTCACAAATCTCACTTTTTCCAAAACAGCATAATTTTATTCAAACTTTTATTGAACATCTCCTGTATGATTCAACAAACCTTGGTTGTTTCTCTCCACATTTCACTTTATAGATGCTAACACCTTATCACCCCCCCCATATTGTCTGATATTTAAAAACAAAACAAACAAAAAAACCTTTACACTGATGGAGCAAAGTTTCAAATTTCACATATAAAACACCTTACTTTCAAAAAGTTACCTCAAATTAATTAAATTAAAAAACGAGGTCCAAACAGAGCACATTTTTAGACACATGTGGTTATCTCTGAAGGCCTAATTAAGTACTTTTTATTTAAAAAATAAAGATATTATATAACATAATGTGCTAACAAAAACATTTTTAAAAAGGCAGTACAATAACATGTTGCATTTTATTAGTGTTTAAAGGTATATTCCACAAGAGAATATGTTTTACATCAGAAGGGTATAGATAAGAAAAAGAAAAGGCTTTTCTTAAAAAAGTCTACTTTTTCATGAGGATCTGAATAACTAGTACAAAATCAGACCTCTAATGAACTTCAATCTTAATCTGTGTCAAATAAATTCACTCTGGAGCACGATTATATTTTAAGTGGGTTATTTTTCCCCTTATATTGTTTTTAAAAACCTTGGTATATTCACAGATTTAAGTTCTACATTTCCCCCCCCCCACCTCTCCAATTTGGCCACAGCCACCTTATAAAACAAACCCATAAAAAGATCCTGAATGTAGAAACATGGCCTTTCCTCCCAGACTCCTGATCAATTTCTCATGCCTGGGTGCTCCACTGATATCAATTGTGATATTTTTAGTCAATTGCTTGAGAGACTGAAAGCAATATGATCTCCTGAGGAAAGTCTTTAGTTCATGGCAAACTTCTGGTCAAATCTTATTTGGATTAATTATATTAAAATCTGCTATATGTTTAGCATGTCATTTGTCTTAAAACAAAAAGCCAGCAGGTTTCTAGGGAACATTAAATATGTCTCCCACCAACTCAACCATGTGCAAATTAAAGTGGATACTTTAAAAAAATAATAATTTTATATATATATATGTTGTATATATAGCAAAAGCACAAATCTCTGTTTGGGGTCTTCAAAGACCCATTTACTTTTATTCAAGATGACAGAAGCACTAACAAGTGTTCAGAATATACATACACATGAAGAAAAATAAAGAATAATGTTATTTTTTAAAGTAATAATAATAATAGTTAACATTTAGTGATCCAATATGTCAGGCATTGAAACTAAGTCTCCATTATCTCATTTAATCTTCACATTCTCCCAAGGAGATTGTAATCCCCATTTCAGAAATGAAACTGAGGCCTGCCTTATTCAAGGTCACTCAGCTACAAAAAGTAGAACTCAAACCCAGTTCTATGGGAGTCCAAAGCCTGTGCTCTTGATCACATTATACAGGCTGGTTTATACTCACTCAATTTTAAGTAAAGCTTTCAAATGTCTTATGTTTCTTCCTTAAAATGAACCACATCTTTGAGGATACATACAAAAATCAATAAATAAGGATTTTACTTGAAACTGTTTTTTCAAGTCTACATGTTTGGATAGGAAACAAAATCCATCTGAATGAAAGCCCTGAATCCATACGGTAATGGGTCACATACTCATTTTGGAGCTGAAGAGATCTTGGGGGTCATCTAATCCAAACTCTTGATTTTAAGAATAGTGAAAACAGGGGACTTTTGAAAAACATTTATTCTCAACATAAACTACCAGATTCTCAATCCAGAAATACTTTTTTTGAAACATCCTTTTCATAAATAATCTAACATTTTCACATCATACAGAACATAATATCCCTTTCTGAAACACTGTAAGAAAAAAACAACTTAATGACATGAAGTCAGACCACTGCAGGACTATCTTACTAATTTTAAGTTGTATATTATCATAAGGTATGTTATAGAATGCTATAAAATGGCATCCTTATCTATATAAACTCAAATTCAAAAAACAGGTATTTCTTCCTTGAATTCAATTTGTACAATCATTTGGGTCAACTACTCGATGATCTTCATTTTTCTGTCATGTCATGTGATTGAATTCAAGCTCATTTCAAGAGAAAGGCTGTACTATACTGTATTTAGAACACACATCACTGACAGCAGCCAGATGTCTTTGAAGACCCATCCAAAAACCTTGCTTTAGTTGCTAAGAAACTACAATTTCACCATAAATCATCAAAAAGAGCTATGCCAGCTGAGATTAAACACATAAGATCGAGAATCTCACCTATTGTACAAACAAACCAAGCTATTTCCATAAATTGAATAACCAAAATCAAAATTAGGTTTAACTCCCACTGTAAGCATAGACAAAAACCTGATAAGACAAATCAGATTAACTCTACTGTGTCTTCCACAGTGGCTTCACACTTGGAGGAAAACAGGAAAAAACACCCATTGTACTTAGCATATTCAAACACAAGAGAAAGAAAAATGTCTTTCCTAACTCCCTCTGCCCCCCACAGTGATTATCCAAAACCATAAAGCCTATATAAAATTTGAAAAATACAATTTGGTACAATACTTTTATTTACCCAATGATGTTTTTTCAATCCTGTGATATATTTTCGTTTTAATATTCAACATTTAAGCCTGGTTTCTCTGATTTTTTTTTAAACTGAAGTCATTTAAATTTGAGTCCTTTTTACAAGAGTAATTTGAATTGCTCTATCAAAACAATAAACACTGAGATCAGTAAAAAAAAATAATAATTTATATTTCATTCTCCAGCACTGATTTTTTTCATATAAAAAACTTTAAACCTCTAAATATCTGTTTCCACAACAGCAGAAACAGACTCACACTCCTAGTCTTGCTTCTGAAAGATCAATTCAGCAGTTGAACTGGTAACACATGCCTTCAACCGGAATCTATTTTGCCTAGACGCCCCCATGCCTATGATTCCCAACCATTTCTCCATCTTCTCTAAAGAACACCAGTTCAAAACCAAGTTCTCTTATTTCCACTGTACCCTGCATTACCCAGAGGCTACTTTTATATTCCTCGCAAATAACATCTTTTCAGATATTGAAACTCTTCGGTCCTGAAACTTTTAGATCTGAAAAGCCTACTTCCTCCACATCCCTCTGGGCAGGAACTACCCTTCATCCCACCACCGCACAGTCGCAGCTGTGTCCCTGCCTTTCCAAAGGCCCATCCAATACCAGTCGCCTGCCACAACTCATTGAATGCCCTCCCTTCCCTAACATATCCTCCTGCATTTTATTCCCTTCCATGATTTCTAGTTTCCTCATACCCTCGTCTCTATACCCAGACACCCTTACTTTTCTAATATTTCCCCTACCTCAGTTTCACCTCTTTCTCCCCATCCTCCCGTTCATTTTCATCTCCTTATTTAGAAACTCCTTTTTGCACTCCCAACCACTAAACTAGAATGCCCCGCACTCCACCCTCTTTAGCAAACCCAACCCTCTTCCCTCCGCTCCTTTGGAGACACACTGCTGCTTCTCGTACAAGGTCCCCTACTGCAGTCAACCCACTCCTTTATCTTCCCCCCACCCCCACATCCAAGGTTCTCCGATTCTACACCCCCTCCTTAGGGTTCTAGTACTCAATTCACTCAATATTCTTCATGACCTTCCTCATTTTCCCCTTATTTTTAAAAATGTCACCAATTTTACGGGGCCCAAACAGAATTCTAGTCGATCCCAGTGCCCGGGAATCCCGTTCTCTCGGGGAGCCGACCGACACCATCCCTCCACCTCCAAGAACACAAACGCCTGTCTCCTGTCACCGTCTTTAAGAAATGCGCCCCCTCCTCATCCGCCCCCGCTACTCCACCTCCTCATGTTGGCTTCCTCGGTGTCCCCTCGCCGACCCGGAGGGACAAGCGAGGTGGAGCCCCAAAGTCGCCAACACGTAGGGCTCACATCGGACGCCCCCACCTCTCCAACAGGCGGTCTCCGGAAGACCTTACACCCGCACCTCTTCAAACCCCTGACCACCATCTTCTCCTCAGACCCGCAGCCCCTCAGACTCCCGCCCGGCCCCCTTCCCCTGGCTCCGGCACCCCTTCGGGCCCGGGCCAACTCCTTCGATAGCAGACATCCCACAGCCCCCGCCCGGCCCGCCCCCGGCGCCCTGCCCGCCCCCGGCGCCCTGCTTACCGTTCTGAGCGGCGACTGGCCCTGGGAGCAGGGAGCCAGAGACCAGCAACAACGAGAGGGCCAGGGCGCTGGGGAGCGACGGGCCCGACATCCTCCCTAGCAGAAGACCGAACGCCTAATGGGCCGGGGCCGGAGCCAGGGCAGGGGGAGGGAGGGGAGGGAGGGAGGGGGCGGGCGAGCGCGCGAGGGAGTAAGCGAGGGAGGAAGCCGCGGCTCCGCTCCGTCCTTCCCCGTCCTCCTCCTACCGCCGCAGCGCCCAAGCCTCGCGAGACCTGCGCTCCGGGCCGTGGGCGGCTGAGCAGGAATAATTGAAAAGCTCGCGAGAGAAAGAGGCTTCGTCTGATATTCCCGCCCCTCAAAGTCGGTGTCTCCGCCCCTGCAGAAACTGATTGGTCTAGCGCGTTGTAGGTCACGTGCCAAGGCGCTTCTGGCCACGTGACGGGGCTAGGGGACGCTCCGCCTATTTTTCTGGCGGTGGCGAACTGAGAAGTGAGCCTTTCGTTTACTCATCTCTGCAACGGGCGTTCCTGTAAATAACAGGAAGCGTTGGGAACACAATACATTTCCTTAACCATGCGTTAGCGCTCTTGGCTGTAAAATTTGATACGCCATCTCCGCTTTTATGCTTCATCTCGTTGTCGCCTATCAATTCTTTATTCCCTATCAATTCAGAGCTACTTCTTCCTTCTAGACTTCGACTATAGACCTCTACCGATAACAGACCCCAGCCTTCCCTCGCATATATTTCACTTCCAGACAAAGTGTTGCGCTGGCTGTGCCTTCCTGCCTCCACATCTGTTCTGTCTGCCTGAAATGTCCTCCTTTTCCACCCCTGCCTACTCCCTGCACCCCGGGTTTGGCCTTATTTTAGCTCCGCTGTCTTTCAGGGCCAAAAGTTCAACTAGCCTAATTGCATGTCCACAGACACAATTCCACAAGGAAGTCATCATGTACCAATTTATATAAATACTCCTCGGAATTGTTTATCGAGTACTTGCTGTGTACCAGACACGATGAAACCCATGTGAGAATACAGTTCCTGTCCTCACAGAGTTCACAGCCTAGTCCCTCAGAGGAGTGAGGAAGAGCCAAATGACCTATAGGGCATCCAACAAAGCCCTGTGGAGGTTTATTGGCTATATGGTCACTACTGGTTTCATGAAAGTTTGGAAAATGTTCTTATTTAAGGGTGTTTTTTGTACTACCTTCAGTGCTGGTGGTTGGCAAAGGAATTTCTACTGCTTGGCTCATCTCTGAGTCACAGCAGACATCCATCCTGGGGAATGTCTGGAGTAAAACTATGAGGAGCCAAGTGAATAGTCCAGCTGCCCTGACGATTCAAAAAGAGGGCTTGGAGAACCTGGAGGAAGGAGATCCTCACATTCTCTGAAGCTAATGTAGTCTCAAGCTTTCAACAGGAACTAGACAGCTGGTAGTTCCAGATTGAGCTTTCTAGCAAGGGCTAGGACTATAACTATGAAATGTTGTAGACTGAAGTGAAAACTAGATTTCTTCAAAATCTCAGGTGTGTGAATCCAAAAAGAAAGAAAAGAAAAAGAAAAAGTTGGCATGTATCTTCATCTGAACAAAGGCCATTCCACAGCCCTATAAGAAGGACTATCAAAGTTGATTGAAGCTTTCCTTGATGCAGTCATAGTAACCATAACAAATATTCTCTATTTGATCCTTGCAGCAAATGAGCCTTATAAAATTGTTTTGTGGATAGGGAAATTGAGGCTGAGAGAACATGACCTGCCCAGGGGCTCAAAGTGTTTGTGTTAATCATTAATGCCAAACAGTCTGGTTTACCTGCTGCTAGGCTCATGAGAGAAGTGCATTTTCTTGTCCTTTTGAAGTTGGGAGTGGCATGCAACTTATTTTCAGCCAGTGAAATGTGAGAAGTGACATGCATCATTTCCAAGCAGAAGACTTGGATTCAAAACCTGGAGCACTTCCGACACATTTAGGGTCGCATACTCCTTGCCTTGGGGGTGATTGGTAATCAATGATGATGAACACACGTGTCAACGTGAATCTTATGTCTGCCTGGGTTCTTGAGTTAGCAAGATAAGCTAAGCCCTGCTGTCAACCCACATAGCCCAGATAGCAACTGCTGAATTAAGCTGCTGAGATCAGGGATGTTTGTCCAAAGAGCATAACCTGGACTATTCCGTTTGGGGAAAAGATCAAATTCAAGTCCACCTTAGCACCACCATTAGCATTTATTAGTTATGTGGCCCTTGGAAGGTGACCTCTCTTTGGCTTATTTGTCTGTCAAGTGTAGCTAATGATAGTTCCAACCTCATAAGACTACAAGAGGAATAAATGAGTAGACTTTTGTGCAATGTTTAGAACAGTTTCTGGTACATAGTAAATGCTCCAATTTTGATAATAGAGATAGTACTCCAACTCTGACTCTGGCCTAGTAAATTTTTCCAACTGTGTCATGCTTACCAAAAACATTCAGGAAGAAAAATGTTAAGGATGGGTGTGACCAATCAACTCTCAAAACATGCAGTTAAGAGGAATCTTTTTACATTGAAGAAAATGTCACCAAATCTCACATGATAGTCGCTGTACTTTCAGTCTTCTTCTGTAGCAGTAATACATGATAAACAAAATTTACATTAACTCAGTTTTCTTTAAAGGAATTTAGGGATTTGAATTTTTGTTGTTAATATTTATGTACACTGAAAAATCTCTTCAAGTATGGCTTTGCCAAGTGATCGCTGAGCTTCATTGCAATCCCTCAAAAGAGCCCTAGAGGTCCTCAGAGGTCAGGCTGAGACGTATTTTCCTGGCCTGGAAAAACGACTTTGGAGGTCGACTTTCCTGTGTTGATATCGCCCCCTGGTGGAAAGATCTGTAATAAAACATTCCCAATCGAAAGGCTTCGCTTGTGTTGATTTGGTGTGGTTCACTGAGCCATTGGAAGGATGTCCGTCAGAAGAATACAGTAATAATATTCCTATAGTTCCTTGAACTTCCTATTGGAGTTCCCTCTTCCTCCTGGAAAGTTCTTGTTCCTTGAAAGTTCTTGCTATTCAGATATTCTACCCCGCCCATCTTAATTGCTGTCATCTTCTGATTTTCCAGTCAATATAATTTTTTCCCTTCCCCTTTCAACTCCAGGTACTATCCTTCAACTCCATAGTGAATCCAATTACCCATATTAATGTATAGGTGCATGCAAAAACTTTCTCGATCAGACCTCAAATATTCAGAAAATAATACCAAGAATTAATAAATGGGATAGCATTAATTTAAAAGCTTCCTTCTTCTCATCGAAGGAAACAAAAACGTGAAGAGAAAATCTACAGAATGGGAAAAAAATCTTTGCTAGTTATTATTCTGACAGAGGATTAATATACAGACTATAGCAAGAATTCAAAAAAACTATTAATAAATGGGCTAATGAACTAATCAGGCATTTTTCAACAAATATATGAAAATATATTCAGATGTTGAACATTGTTAATGATGTATTAACAATTAGGGGAATGCAAATAAAAACCACACTGAGATTTTATCTCAGTCCAGTTAGAATGGCAACCATCAAAAATACATATGATAATAAATGCTGGAGAAGGTGTGGAGAAAAAGAAACACTGTTGATGGGACTGTAAATTAATACAACCACTATAGAAATCAGTATAGAGCTTCCTTAAAAGATTAGGAATAGAACCACCATATGACCCAGCTATCCCAATCATTGGTGTTTATCCTAAAGAATTAAAGTTGGCATACTATAGTGAGATGTGCATATCCATGTTTATAGCAGCACAATTTACAATAGCCAAACTCTAGAAGCAGCCTAGGTATCCATCAATGGATGAATGAATAAACATATACACCCAATGGAGCTCTGTTCAGCCATAAAGAAGAATTAAATGTCATCTTCAGGAAAATAAATGGAACATGAGAACATCATGTTAAGCAAAAAAAGCCAAACTCATAAAGTCAAGGACCATTTGTTTTCTCTCATATGTGAAAGCTAAAGAGGAAATAGGAAAAGAAACGTGGGGTGAGGAGGATCTAATGGAAATCAAAAGATTAGTAGAGAAAAGGAAGTGGGGAAGGAGGAGGAGAGAAAAAGGAGAAATATGGGGGGGTGGAATATTGCCCAAATTATATTGAATTATATTGTCATACTATGTACATGTGCAAATATGTAACATGGAGTCCCACTATATGTACAACTATAATGCACAAATAAAGATTGGAAAAAAATAAAATATTGTTATTCTAAAAAAATTCATGTTAATGACCAGCCTGATTATTATTTACTATCTTGGTGTCTCAATTTTTCTACCGTCTCATATCCAGCAATCTTTTCCTCATCTAAGTTACACCCTTAACATTTTAATAATACCCCCAAAGAACTCCATCTTTAACATGTAAAAAGGTGATACCCCACTCTCCATTCACCACCACTTAGCCTGTGGGTTCCTTGTGTTAAGACCCTATTTCCTCCAATTCTTCAATCTCATTAAGACTGCTGATCTGCTAATCCCACCAATTTCTCTTTGTCCATTCTTCATTTCCCTCATGGTCCAATTTAGAGCCCATAGCTCATCATTACAATCATTCTCTTGTCTGCCTCAGTCTCCAGAATATTTCTGGGAAAACCACAACCCGGCTGAGCACTACAGTCTGAAATGAGGTTTCATGCCTGTACCTGAGCTGCTGAAGGTTTCCAGAGAAAAAATCACACACAGGATGAATGATTTCATTTTGAATTAGTGATCTCAGAGCTCAAAGGGGAACTCATCCTCACCCATTGATTCCACCCTTTCATAAGTGACAAGCATGAATTTGCAAGTACAATGGTCACATGCAAGAAATGCCTATTGCTTTCTCTGAATTAAATTTAATCTATTCTGATCACCTTTTTGCTAAGATGACAAGAAATTCAACTTGGGTCATTCTGAGCCTTCCCCCCTACTTCCCAGTTATATGAAATTCCTGGGTTCTTATGGTAGATATTTGCTTTCATTATTGTTGTTAACTGTGATCACTGCTCTGTGTCCATTGCCCAGGCCCGTACAATCCCTCAAAGTGAATGGTTTGGTGCTACACACCACCCCCTGCAGCAGCCTCACTCCACACCACATTCCTGATGAACCCAGCCTAATTCCATCTTAAGATTGGGAGCCATCTCGTCACAAAGTCATGAAAAGTTAATTTCTGTTTCTCTATAAATTGCTGAGATTTCTAAACTTTGGACTTCCTGCCTGTGCTCTGAACTCACCGGTGCCTGGCTCTCCTTGACCAGATAA